TAGGACTAAACACCACTTGGTGAATACCATTATTCCCTCTCCCGATCGCCCTCGATCATCTAGTAGCAAATCTCATAAACTAAAGGCTAGCATGTTCCCGTAACCAATAGATGGAGAAGCTCACTGTCATCACAGGCGATGGACGAAGACCGACGATAAAGGACAATCATCCCTCGATATGATCCAACAGCATAGCAACAATGGTAAACCTCCTTTCAAAGCAGGAACAAAGTTAGCGATGCATAAAGAATTATAACAGGATGTTGCTGCTCTCAACGACGGTGATCCTGCCTGGAGTAGGGAACTTAGGCGCTCACGACCTCGGTCTGGAGACCCTCGAAGCTTTGGACGGGAAGATACTGCACAAGAGTGTACATCTCCTCACCCTCCTCGGCCTGACGACGGGACAGACGTACGCGGACTCTGCGAGGAATGTTGCGGATACCCTTAGACCAGATGAACCTGAGAGAATATATTTGACTAACAAGGTAGTAATGGTGGACGTACTTGTTGAGCTTGGTATCGATACGGACATCCTCTGTCTTCATCTGCTTCTGGGCGAAGGCTTTAATGGCACGAACGACCTTAGGAGCACGCTTCTTAAAGGTCTGCTTGTGCACGATCTTATGGACGTGGATCGTGTGATCAACAGTCAAAGGCTGCATGATCTTCTTGCTAGAGTCTCCTAAGAGTAGAACACCAAGTACGGACCCGAACCGGCTATTCCGACGCGTCAATCAGTACTTAATGAGTCACACGTAGCACTACCACATCAATCATACTCTCACACTTCACTTTCTGACATAATACACCCGCACCCTTATTACCCTTTGCCATCTTTAGGTCACGGTTCAACCGAGGTTAAAAAGAGGCCAGCTACAATATATATCGATCATATGGGCGAGCGAGATCTTGACAACGCCACCTCATGAATGCTCCTCACGAGCCGCATGTGGGTTGAGGAGTCGTTATGCTGTGGCACTACTCTTGCCGTGGTCACGGAAGTGCTGCATGCAAACCCGTGAATCACGGGCCAGGATGATGTCTAGGCATTCGAATCGTTATTGCCTTTGAGACAGGACTGGCCTTGTATCACAACGGTCCATGAGACGGCATCACGAGTTGGTGTCAATAGCCTCACTAGATTGCGATGATCCATCCATAGCTGCCGTTATACTTCGTTAAAGCTTTCTTCGTCT